GGGCCCCATGAGTGATGGGACCCCCTGTCTGTGTGCTCCCCAGCACCACAGCTCCCACCACAGCACCAGGAGGGAGGAGAGGAACCACAGGACTGGAAGAGGCATCACATAGGGTCCATCAGCCTCCACTTTGCACTTGTGTCCTGCTCCTGGTGCTGGATTTGTCCCACTCACCTTTGTAGGTGGGGGGCTGCCCAGTGCTGGGTGAGAGGGGCTCTGGGTCGGGCTGCCCCCCACCCGCGCTGGCACGAATCGGGCCATGTAGGTGCTGTAATCCAGGAGAATCTTCTGTTGGACGCTTCCTGCCAGATCCTTGGGTGGGATGGCTGAGGGGATGTCCTCAGCGCTCCCTCCGCTGCTGCTGCCGCTGCTCTGTGGAGCTGGTCCCATCCCTGGGGACATGAGTGGGTCAGGATGGCATGGGAGGTGACATGCTGCTTGTCCATGATGCCAGTGACACGCCACCCACCCTATGCTGGTGAGGGGGTTCCTCTGGGCTCTCCCTGCTGCTGCAAATGCTCTTGGCTGTGCTCTGGGCTCTTTCATGTCCCCTACTGCTTGTCCTCCCAGCACACGTGCAGCTCCCACCCCGGATCAGTCCCGGCACAGAGCAGATGACACAACGGCCACATCTCACCTGCCCTGGTGTCACCGCGGCTGCTGCTGGGGGTCCCATGGGACGCTCGCACGAGGTGCTGGAACCATTCCTCCTTCTCCCTCCCCGTCCGCCCAAAGAGGTACAGGCACCTCTCCCTGCAGTCCCCTGGGACATCGTGCCCTGGCACTGCCACCTTCTTTGTCCCTTCGTCCCTCAGCAGCTCTGTGTCGTGCTCCTCGCTGCTCCTGCCCTCCACCTCCGCCGGGTCGGGGAGGAGGATGCACGCTCGCACGAGGTGCTGGAACCATTCCTCCTTCTCCCTCCCCGTCCGCCCAAAGAGGTACAGGCACCTCTCCCTGCAGTCCCCTGGGACATCGTGCCCTGGCACTGCCACCTTCTTTGTCCCTTCGTCCCTCAGCAGCTCTGTGTCGTGCTCCTCGCTGCTCCTGCCCTCCACCTCCGCCGGGTCGGGGAGGAGGATGCAGATGGGGTATTTCTTGTTCCATGTCCTCTTTCGGGCCAGGCTGGGGGGACAGAGGAAGACCTGCAACACCAAGAGCAGCAGTGAGGCTGGGGGATCCTGCAAGGGGACAGCCCCCTGCTCCTGTGGGAACGTCCTTGTCACTGCTGGGCTCACCTTGGCATCGGTCAGGTTGTAGCAGCGGTGGCTGACGAAGACGGAGTCAAGGATCTCCTCCTCAAAGGTGGCTCGGCGCGGGATGTTGCTCTTGGGGTAGGAGAGCTTGAGGGTGGCCCCATCCAGCGTGGTGAACACCGAGTGTGTGAGCGAGGGGTGGAACAGCTCGGGGTCATAGACCTGCAGCTGGTTCATCCAGCCCTGGGTGGGGGGAGAGGGATCCAGCTGCTTCCCGCTGTGCTGTACGGGGGGGTCAGCACCCCCTGGGTGCCACCTCCAACCCTCGGCTCCCCTCCAGCCACCACCCAGCACCCCATCCCAGACCACCCCTCTCCTACCTGGAAGTGGTGGGTTTCCTGTGTCTCCTCCAGGAGAAGCCTGGGACGCA